TGCGCGCGCCAGTGCTGCTGCCCCAGTTAATGTGACTTTATCACAATTAGCTTACTTCTCATTTCAAAAACAACTTGTTTAACACAAAATACTTCTTGATTCATGAAAATATACGCATTTGAGAGGACAAAAAAATCTGATAAGTCAAAATAGTGTTGTAGTGTAAATGTAGACTAATAGACCTTGACAAGCGACATTGACAAGAGAAAGAGAAACAAATCTGTGTTGCTGAATACGAGGCTTCTACAGTTATAGACACTAAAACAACTTTCCACACGTCCTTTATAAAGCAGTGTTTAATTAAAAACATATTTGAGGGTATTTATGAAGGTATAATGTATTATTTACTTATGTTATGAATTATTATTATTGTTAGCATTATTAATTAACTTATTTATTTTTTATTTTCTATTAGTGTCCCCCAAAACACAGCAGATGAAGTTCTCCAGAAGCTGATGCCTGTGGTTACAGCAACTAGATACGCTGGGTAAGTAACACTGAGAACAAGCATCACTGCTAAAACATTATAACAGTTCTTACTTAAACATTATACATTAATGCTTTAACAAATAATATGAGTGTCACACTTCAGCTTTTAAACCCTCCACCTATCTGACCTGATTAATGATCTACGTAACCGTTTTTATGATATTTGTGTAAGAAATTTATTTTCAAAAATATGCATTTTATAATTAACATTTAAACAAATGAACATTTATATTTAGACTTTTTAATATTTATTTTAATTTAATTAAAATGTTAATGCATTTATTTAGGTAAAAAAACAGATGTTTTTAATGTATTTCATTTGATCAGTTTTACATAATCTTTCTCCCTCCCATAATCTCTTAGAATAACAGTTAAACTTGCTGATATGTTTAATTCATTGTTTAAAAAAGAGATATTGCACAAATGATATGCACTCATGATCCCTCAGTCTCTCTGCCTATTTCCCCAGTTCAGTTGTTTGTCTCAGCGCAGAGTCTTGTCTAGAGTTCCTGGCATTACTGAGCGTTGTCCTTGTTTTCTGCTATTCCTGGTTTGGAGATCTGCCTGTGTCCTGGGGTGTGTTCCAGAAAGCAAGCTTATCTTACCCTCAAACATACCCTGAACTCTTGCTTGATTAAACCACATTATTTGGTTTTATTGTTTAATTTCATGGTTCACACACCAGACCTTCTCAACAGAGACGAATCCACGAGTCGCCATGGAAACAGACGCTGAGAAAAAGCGCGCCATACGACTACTTTCTTCTTGTGTTAAATGCTGATTTACATAGTGCATATCGCCTCCTATTTGGTGGTTGTGCAATCATTTTAAAATCTTTAAATCATGTTTATGAGATGAGCATTAGCTATATATTATAATAAACTGAACATTAGCTTGTTGTAACAGCGCTTTATATAGATATAAGTGTCAGGCCCGCTGGAGCCTCATCAATAGAGACGCATGCGCTGAACACCTCTGGAGTAAACTGACCCTGGATCAGAACCGGCTCCGGAGCTGCTATGGCTACTGATGAGAGAGAGAGCTGTGCGAGAGAGAGAGAATGAAGCTCAGGATTTTATAGGCGATTTGATACACACGATTTTGATGAAGTTAGTAGGGATTTTTATTTTAGTTTGAAAACAGAGGAATATCTGCAAATTGATAAAGCCTCTGTGTTGAGGGTTTTACAAACCACCCAAAAACTAAAAGCCGTGGGCTTGATAAAGTCAGTGGAGAGTTTTGAGGAGCTGTGCTTATCAGCGCTGTGATATCAGGCATTTCATTTTTCAGACCTCATTGAGATTACAGAGAGTGCCTTCAGTTGTTTCTATCAAAAGCTAGATCAGTGTTTATATCTGAACTTTAAACTTTTATCCCATTACTTCTATTTAAGCTGTTTCATGCCAACTCTCTCTGGGTCAGCGGCAGCGCCAACACAGATGTAAAGTGTTGCGATGTGATTTAGTCAAAGGTTTAATAGAGGAATTGTAAGAAGATGGTGTGTGTGTGTGAATGGAGATCACAGTATTGTAAAGCTGAATCGGTCAGCTCTACTGTCTTATCTCTCTCTCAGCATATGAGCAGTGCGAGGGCTTTCAGTGCTTCAGTCTCACGCCGCTTCCACACGTCCACTAGACAGGGATATTACGACACTCATAGATAACCACACGCTTCAGCCTCTGTTGGAGCAAGCTGGGTTTCCATGTCTTATGGGGACTTTCCATAGAAATACTGATTTTTATTCTGTACAAACTGTATATTCAATCCCCTAATCATAACTGATGTATTTTAACAAAGTGAACTGATGAGTATTTCTACACATTTCATGTTGACAGCATTATGTTATTTATTGTTTAAGTGTTATATTTATCTCTGGATAAAGGCTTAACCCTTGTGTTATCTTCATTTGGGGCCGGCACTAGTTATCTTTGGGGTCTCCAGGGACCCCAGACAATAACATTTAATTTTGTAACAGAATAATAGTTTTTTTTTATTTTTTTTACAAATATAATTTTACTGTAATTTTTATATATTTGTAAATTTCTATAAATAAATTAGTGCTGGGCAACGATTAAAATTTTTAATCGCGATTAATCGCATGATTTTCTTGCGATTAATCGCGATGTTACGCGCAAACTTTAATAATGAATTCTAAAGTAGTGTTTTACTCACTTTTGATTTAAATGTACTGCTATATACACAAAAGTGTAATAACATGTGGTTTGCAAACACTTTAAACAAATAAGGTGCTTTTACCAGCAGTATTCCCTTTACACAGCAATAAAATATTTATTGTAAATCTCAACTTAAACATTAATGTAATCAAATCAAATATTAAAACAAAGCTATTTGCCACTGCCAGGGCATTACCTTTTATCTAGCTTGTTAAAACGAGTCCAGTTTTCTTGGTTTTTTCCTTAACAGGTATCAACAGGTGTCTTTTAGCAGCAGAAACAGTCTATGTCAGAGGTCATGAGATATAAGTCGACCAACGTTACTTCTCTGATAGTAGCTTAGGTTTGGTCATGCCATGGTTTCCCACGTACACTAAGATTGCATTAAACACCCAATTTGGTAAAGCCCAATTTATACTTCTGCGTCGTACTTACGTCGTACCGTGACGTGCACCTCTCCAAAAATGTAACGACGCGTCAATTCTACGCGCACCGCAAGCGCTGTGATTGCTAGAACCGCTCCACGGGTTTCACATGCTCCCTCTGCATGTGTAATTGCGCGTCAACGCGGACAACGACGCAGAAGTAAAACCAACCAACGCGTATTGTATAGCATAAGTCCGACACAGAAGTATAAATCAGCCTTTTAGAGTGAGGTGAATTGGTCGAGCACAAGGTGCAGCGACAAGCGGGTGCGTTCTGTGAAACTGTTGCGGTCATGCTCGCCTCACGCGCTCGCCTCACGCACGCGCCCGCGCGTTGCCGAAGTTGAATTGTCTAAAAGGACTTTGATTGTCTATAACTTTTTGTACACGACGCGCAGTACAAATCATTGGAAGAGAGACTGATCCTCGGCTCGCTGTTCGAGTTTCCAATATTTAAATAGTTATCAGGACATCAACAGAAGGGAATTCACATTGCAGAGCATCCCCGCTAAACTACACGCAGGCACATCAGGTAAAGTTATGTATAATTTTAATTTAAGTTAAAAAGACTACAGCTGCGTTGCGCACAGAAGCCGTTGCTATGGTTACTATCCATAGAGCGCCTGTCATTCACTCGCGGAGCGCTGTCTCCTTTTCTGTTCACCTGATAGAACCGGCCAAAGCCTCTCCACTGCTGGTTTGGGTGGGTTATTTGCTGGCTGACCAACATCCCACCCCTCCTGTGATCCATGGTTTGAATGTAGGCCTATGTCCTATTCAGAGCCAGTGTGCAACGGACTTTCAAAATAATCAAAAAAAAAAAAACTGCGTTAACGTGCGATAAAAAAATTGTCGGCATTAATTAATAAATGCGTTAACGCGATAATAACGCGTTAACTTGCCCAGCCCTAAAATAAATATTTATTTAAATAGGCTTTTTACAAAAAAACAGCATTTTATGTAAAGTTCACTTTATAAAAGACCCAGATTTCTGACTTTCATTCATGGGGATAACCTGGATAACTTTATATGGTTTAATGTAAGATTTGTGCCCATTTTTTTGGAAAATACAGTTTTAAAATAAAAAATAATAATTTTAACCACTAGATGGCTATAGAGCTCCACTATTTGCTATTCGACTAACTAAATATATCTATTCACAAGTTGTATTCAGTTGGATTCATACCTAAATATTATAAAATCACAATTATAACAAAAATAAAATACTTTTGTCAAATTTTTTTTCCAATAATATTATGATTAGAATCAAACCTGAACAATGTTACAAAGATACATTTTTAGATTTTATCCAAAATTTTAATCAACATTTCAGTTACTAACTAACAGAACAAAAATTAACAGAAATGAACAGTTATATTACATATTGAGTAAAAATACATGACATGAACATGAACAGCAATAACAAATTTTTTATAGCCTTACAAGTGTGTGTGTGTGTGTGTGTGTGTGTGTGTGTGTGTGTGTGCGCACATTTTCAATGTGTCAGTGTCACCAATTTATTTTTGTTATGTTTCTACATTTTGGATGATTTTATTTTACAAATGATAAGAGAACAGTTTTTATACGTATATATATATATATTAATATGTATATATTTCTGTCTGTGTGTTCTGCGTTGTTTCTGATTTTGATGATGAATTTTGTATATTTACTATGCGGGGTCTCCAGGGACCCGAAGAGCTCTTTTTTTTTTTTTTCACGCTAACATAAAAACAGAAATCATTACAATTTTTTATTTTTTTTGTAGATCTAGAAAGTGTTGAGAGCCGTAGAAAGTTTCATACCATTTGGACAAAGAGAATTATTTAAAAAATTTGAGCAAAAGTCATTTGCGGGTTAAAAAGACCCTGAAGAAAACCAGAGGCTTAATGTGTGTCATTGTTCTCTACAGGTTGAGTATGTGTGGAGTCACAGATGAAGGTTGTGTTGCTCTGGCTTCAGCTCTGAGATCAAACCCCTCACACCTGAGAGATCTGGATCTGTCATATAATAATCTAGGAGACTCAGGAATAAAGCATCTTTCTGATCTACTGGAGAATCCTCTCTGTAAACTGGAGAAACTGGGGTAAGATCATCTCTACCATAAAGACTCTGAGTGAAGAAGGATTAATATGTAGATAGTGTGTACAATATATGTGTGGCGTAAGCCCCATCCGGGGTTAAAAATAACAATAATGCTATCAGTCAAATTCATCTTTACTTTGTTTATTTTGTGTTATTTTTGAGAAAGAAGAATCACTCCATCACATACAAAAGGAACAATTACACTTAATGCGACCAGTTTGAAATAATGGTGACACTTTATCACAAGTATACAGTAACACAGCGCTTATAAATCATTTGCAAACTATTAGTTTATAGTTCACGAATAGTATATAAGCTGTTGTTAAATTAATTATTACTAGATTGTAGAGCCCGACCGATATATCGGCGGGCCGATATTAGGCATTTTCCAAACTATCGGTATCGGCATTTATAATGGCCGATAAATGAATATTTTAAAAAATGCGGTTGAGGTGATTCATGTAAGGGTGGCGCTGCCAATAAAGCACCTAAAAGCTGTCACAAAGAACTGGCAAAAGTAATGATTATGAATACAACAAATATAGCAAGTAGGGGTGTAAATCGGAGCCTACATGACGTTTCGATACGATACCGATTTCTTAAGCCAACGATTCGATTATTTTCGATACTTCAGAATTCCCCGCGATACGATTCGATACGATTCGATTCGATAATCGATATTTTTACATGATATCTATTAAGTTTCAAATAAATCAACACATTTTTTTATAATTTGCCTTTTATTGAGAATACAGGAACAGTATTCTATTCACATAATGTGTATATTGTGCTCAATGCACTGCAAATAGAACAGCAAATATAACAGTTACTGCATACAGTTCAAAACTTGATTCTATCGAATCCTGGTGCGTTTCCGTGCATCTTACGTCATCGCAAACGTGCACGACGCATGATAGAAAACAGAACGCGGGTCAATATATTGTGTTTTTTTATTTTATTTGGTGCTATTATGCACAGCTGAGTGAACAACACCGGTTTACTGTGTGTCGCATTTGGCTTTTTGCTGATTGCAAACGCAGGAGACAGTGGATTTCCATTAATTTGTTGCCCTGAGTCCACGCGCTATGTGTGTGCGAATACAGACTCACTCTCGCTCTTGTCCAAGGTAAATTATCAACACTATCATCCCTTACATGTGTTTTATTTAACTAAATACATCATAATCAGCTAAAAAGCATGCGCAGGTCACTTACTTCCTGAACAAGTGCGCACCCGAGTCCGTGATGCTTTCACATTCACGCCAGCCGCGGCACGGTTCGAGTGCAACCGAACTCAGCGCACCTCCTCCAGGCAGTCTCGGGTTTGGTACCCCAGTACACACCGGGGTCCGCATGACAGACAGCGTTTACATAATTAGCGATTTTTCATGCGAACCGTGCCCGTTCCGTTCCGAGTTGGTGTGAAAGCACCCTAGACTTTTCAAGTAAGCTGTTGAAGTAGCCTTTTGTACACATTAGCGCCTGTTTGTTTACGTTAGTAACTGCTAGTTTGGAGTTCGCCAACTAAGTGACTGAGGGTGCATTCACACTGGCAGTTTAGTTCGGTGACTAACTAACGTTAGCCCAGTGCATAACAACAATCGTTTGTACGCATATGAGCGGATGCTGAAAATAGACAGGCGGCAAAACAAACACATTAATCGATACTCTTGCGGACGCATCGATGCATCGAATCGTCGGCTGTATAATCGATACGAATCGATTAATATTTACACTCCTAATAGCAAGGAGACATTTTAATTGTTTATTAATAAACAAGTGTTTTCAGTCAGTGTCAGCCAAAGATGAAGTTGACGATGCTGACTCGCGATCTTCAGTGAAGATAGAGAGAAATGCACATTTCATACGATTACATGAGTCTGTCTGTTTTTCGTTTTGAATTGTTCTGTTTAAAAGTAGACATTTCAATATAGATATATTTCAATTCTCAGGTCTATACGCTGAGTTTCGGTTAAAGCTGCCGTCGGCAACATTTTTTTGATCATATTCCGTGAAATCGACACTATAATCTGACAGAACAACATAAATAAAGTGGTTTTAGAAAAACCCCCGAGCTTCTAACTCCACCTGGAGCTTGTTATTTGTTTTGCAAAAATCCACCGCTCCCGGATCATCATGTCCAATCAGCGCAGGGGGGGGTGAGATCTGACTGTCAATCACAGATCGGGCACACGCCACCCCTCGCGCACGTTACAATCACATGCACACGCCTGAAGTTCGCGGAAGTTCGCGCAGTAACGAAGAGTGATGGCGGAAAATCAAGTAAGCTCATTTAGAGTATAAATGACGTTAGCAATTGCAATCTATCGGTACATTAGCCAGGACAGCATACCTCCAAATACTCCATGGTGTTGATGGATGCTGATGAGACGGGCGCGTTCCATGGCTCTCAAGTTTTGAAGACAGGTAAGAGTGACACCCAGCCGACGGGGGGTTGGATACATTTTTGTCATTGGTTGTTGCGTTAAATCTTACCCAGATACAATAGTGCTATTTTTTGATTGGCTATTGTGTAGCTCGACGAACAACACCAGAGGAAACGCGCTTGATTCATGCCGGTTCCACAGTGAGAGCGGCACGGCCAGAGTTTTGGGCGCAGCGGCATATTAAATATATTACAAATAGTTTTTCAGCATGAGAAATACAATGTGTGGCGGGAGAGCGTGACAAAAGACCGAAATGAGTGACTGTCACGCTCAATGCGTGACACTTGAGAGCCCTGGCGTTCACTGAAAATCTGGTGCACACGCACTGACGAGCATGAACTGGGTGGGAGGGTATCCGTTGATAGTGGGGGAGGGGCATGAGAGTTGTAAACATTCAAAATTTTCCTAAATCCACTCAATCTGCCAGACTTGCCGACTGGAGCTTTAATGAGACGAGCTCCAGTTCACCCGCAGACGCCTCCGTGTCGAGATTATCTATCGTCTGCTATATTTACTTCTTATAAATTAAATCCAGGCAATTGGTTGATGAAACATTGATTAAAATTAAGATACAATTAATACAAAACGAAATTCACTTTGAAACGAAAGGTTTTGTGCTTTCTGTTTGATGTCTATGTGAAAGTTTCAAAGCATTTTAGTGCCGCTTTCAGAGCGCTCACGTCCGTAGTGCTGAACTGTCGCGTCTGTAACATTGTTTTTTCCTCATAAATGCGAACACGAAAAATAAAATAAAATAAAATGAATATTTTATGTAGCCTGTGGAGACTGAGAGCCAACCCTTCTTCATCCGGTGGGTAGTAGCCTACTTGTGATTTGCGCGGTGTAATTCACAGAATTGATTTCTCTGCTACAAGCCTCTGTCACGTATTGTGTGAGCTTGTGACTATTGCAAGCGCGCAGCTGAGAAGTCCTGATTATATTGTCTGCTATATTTAGGCCTACTTCTTATTTATTAAGGCAATTGGTTGATGAAACATTGATTAAAATGCGTGGCGCGAGCGATCTCCGACAGTAAACTGATTCTGCTTTGTCTCGGGTAAACAGCTGTTGCGACGCGAGCAGTAACGGCCGCGTCCGGTGTGTAGAGACAGTGTTAAAGCTCATTCTGCCTGATAACGCTACGTTACAACATCAAGCAATATTCCAAAAATGTATATAATTATAACACTTTATATAGGGCCATTTTGCATTAAGAGTAGCCTAGTTTCACGTTTAGTACATTTTGCTTACTAATTATTTAAAATAGTATAAAAGTACTGTATACATATGTAATTAAAAACGTTTTCATTATGATATTATTAATTTTACTTTAGTAAAAAGATCTGAGTTCTTCCTCCACTGGTAGAGATTAGAGGAATTAAGACTAAAAATAGAAGATAATAAGGTTTTGTCAGTGACACTTTTTATATATTTATTGATACAAGTTATGACTAAATTAAAAGACAAAGTCGTTAGTGAAGATTATGCAACAGTATTTAGAATATAATATAATATAACATGCAATGCAAACTAGTTTGGTTACAGCTCAACTGTATAATTCTCATTATATCATTCCCCCTGCCTCCATCTGTGTCACACAAGAGTTTGATCACCACATTTGAGTGATCATTGAAAAACGTGTTTATAAAATATATTTATTCTGTTTATACTGTGTAAAGTACCCATCAAAAGTTTGTACACACCAATAGGAAAGTGTCCAAACTTTTGACTGGTATACTGTACTATAATACACATAAATAATATTGCTACTGTATTATAATATACACATAAATAATATCGGCCGATATATCGGTATCTGACTTTTTTTACTCCCTAATATCGGTATCGGCATCGGCCCCCAAAAATCCATATCGGTCGGGCTCTAATAGATTGTATTATTATTATTATTATTAGACTATATACAAATAATTGGGTGCCGATACTAGAAGTGTTGTGATTTTTAAGAATAGCGATTCTACAATATTGTGATTCGATATTGCAATGTATTGTGATTTGTTTTTAACACTAGACTATGGAGAAAAGTTAAATCATACACTTATACAGACTGTACATGATGTATAAGATGAGTCATATTTACAAAAACAATTCATCACATCTCTGAGTTTTATTTCAGGAGCATCATACAGTAATACACTCTCTTGAATAAATAATTCAATAAATACATTTTTTAACAGTCACTTGTCGCCACCTAGTGGCAAAACAATGTAATTGATAAATGCATTATTTTAACGCATGATTCAACCGATGATTTTGTCAAAGGTTTAATAGACAGACGAATTGGAAGAAGATCGTAAAACAGTAAACAAAAAAATTGCGATAGTTTGGTGAATCTTTTTTTTCTCCCAGCCCTAACACACACACACACACACACACACACACATTCCTTTAAATGTTTACAAATACATTAAGCACACACACACACACTCGTTTTCCATGTTTTATGGGGACTTTCCATAGAAATGATTTTTATACTGTACAAACTGTATATTCAATCCCCTAATCATAACTGATGTATTTTAACAACATGAACTAATGAGTATTTGTATATATTTCATATTGACAGCATTATGTTATTTATAGTTTAAGTGTTGTGTTTATCTCTGGATATAGGCTTAATGTGTGTCATTGTTCTCTACAGGTTGTGGGATTGTGGAGTCACAGATGAAGGTTGTGTTGCTCTGGCTTCAGCTCTGAGATCAAACCCCTCACACCTGAGAGAACTGAATCTGTCTGTGAATAAACTAGGAGATTCAGGAATAAAGCATCTTTCTGCTCTACTGGCGAATCCTCTCTGTAAACTGGAGAGACTGTGGTAAGATCATCTCTACCATAAAGACTCTGAGTGAATAAGGATTAATATGTAGATAGTAGGGGTGTGACGAGATCTCGTCGAGTGAAAAGCTGTCTCGCGATATGGCCATGACTGAGCGTGAGATTACCATAGAATATTCCACCGCTACACTCACATTCGCCTAAACTATCGTTTTGTTGTTTTTATAAAAGAATAAAAACCATTATAAACTAATGTAAAAGTCTGCTCTGCTCATCCAGCGCGAGTTGCCGTTGCAATCAGTGCCGCACGAATCACAGTTCACTGATCGCGTGACGATGGCGGAGGATTCGTTGCGCAACATAGACTAACGTCTGATACATGTCTAATCTTGTAGAGTGTGCGCTCAGCACCGCTGCTCCCTATACACGAATCCGACGAGCGTTCTGTGTAGGCTGCCATCTTGTGGCGACGCCATTACTGAGCTGTTAGCGGTATGTAAACAAACCTCCGTGATAACGCACCCTCGATGACAGCTACAGCCAGGCAGAATGACTTGTTGGGTTGATGATGTTAGACAGTGGCCTCCAGTCACAGATGAAGGTACAAACGATCTTACAGATTATTTAGGAAAATAGCTTGGCAAGCTAGCTAGGCTAACGTTAGCTAACGAGGAAACTATAAAAAGATCTGTCCATTTGGCATCAATAAATAAATGAATGACATCAAATAAACGAATTCATGTTTTTCATTTGTGTCCATTATTTATCTCATTTTCACATTGCAAAAGGCAAGGGTAAGGTACAGCTAGAAAGTATTCATAATATCGACCAATTAGTGTTTTTAAACCATGGAAAGAGGTCAATATAACAGCAGGAGAACAATTATGTCACATAACGTTACATTTAGCTCAGGAAAGCCATTTAATGACCATAGCATGTTAATTGAATAGAAAAAATAGCTAGAGAGGAGATTTTGCTGAGCACTATATTACATGTTTATTATATTTTTTACTTATGTCATTAAATAATTGTTATTATAACAAAAACTGCATTATATTTAATTTAATTTGTTAGTTTAATTTGTTATTTAAAAAAATTCTGTCACAGTCAAGCAAATCAAACATTAACAACAGACATAACAGTAATGTTACTAACGTCACTGCCCCAATGCGCCCTTTACTGCCGCCACTGAAACAATTTAAACCGGAACATGTTTTCCCACTCGAAAGGAGTTAAAAGGAGTTCAGTTAGGAGGTCACACACAGCCTCAATCAGAAGTTCTGAAAGCTCTTAAATGTACAGTAAGGTCTGAAGAGACTAATTCAAGATGTTTATTTGTCATATGCACAGATTTACACCATGCAATGAAATTCTTAGGTTGCAAAAAGTTTCCCACAGTATAAAATGTACACAATATACACACAATATATTTAAAAGATGCAAGTGTAGAATTGCATTCGGCAGAGAGACATTAAAAGCATCATAAAAAGCATGTACATTGAACTAGGGGTGCGCCGATCCGATATTCGGTATCGGTATTAGTCCGATACTGGCCAAAATCACTGGATCGGATATTGTATGAATCGCGGGAGTATATTCCGATCCTATACGACCACGGACCTAGTCCTAAACTGTCAAACAAATGCTTAACAACACCTGAGAGACATGCCGTAAAGAGAGATGAGCAACATGCGTCACGCTGCAGCTGCACACAGGGTCGCCAGATTTTCACAACAAAACCCGCCCAATTGCATTTTAAAAAGTAGCCAATCGCGTTTCGGGGTGTGAGAGGGAGCGCGGACTTGGCAACACTGGCGTCACGTGAACAGTAGCTAGAACGAGACTGAGTAAGGTGAGACCTGTCAGCGATTATCATGTCAGCTGTGTGGAGTTATTTTTAAAAAGTGTGCATTTTGTTTTGTGAGTCTCCGCAACGGCGATAGATTGGAGCGCGTCCGAGTGAAGATTGTGCGCGCGCCACAAGAGAACACTGTATCCGTGCAACTGATAGCAGCGGCAACGAGCGCTCAGCTTGATTTAAAAAAACAAACACATTTTAGCGCTAGGTCTAACTATGTTAATTAATGCTCTGTTAAATGGAGATGTTTTATTTATTTGTATTACATCTGTGCCTCATAATGTTTCAAAAGTGGTGGGGGGCAATATCGATCCTGAGAAAAAGTGGCTGGGACATGTCGCACCCTCAAATTACACCTATGATCCCCAGATGTTACATGTGAAAAACTTTAGAGCTTGGACTGTCTATCCAAAATGTTTTTCCCCTTTATCAGGTGTAATGGCCTAGTAGAGTTTAATTTGTGAGTGCCTTAGGCCATCCTTAAAAATATTCTTGTTTGCCGTAACCCGAACGACCCTGTCAAATTAGGACCGACCCAATTATTTATTTATTTTCCCTTTTAGTCCGACCGACTTGCCGGTTGTAAACTTGCATTAAGACCGACCGATTTTTTTTTTACTCTTCAAACAACTAATACAAATGCAATAAAATAATATAAATTTATTATAGTACGTATTGTGAATATAAATTGCGTAGGCTACGTTCTTTCTTTTAAATAAAAACCCGTGGCGTCATCTATGATGATTATGTTTACACCATTGGTTTACACATGTCACACTATGGCCTGTGCGTTCGCTTCGTTTCATTCACTGTCAATGGTTCGCGCTCGGTGATGATGGCTGCGGCGCGGCTGCTTGTGAAATACGTCTGTATGAGCCTACATTTAGTCGCTCATTATTCGAAATTCTTAATGGTCAAATATGGAATAGGAGAATAGGGAATCGATGTTAACGGCCTTTTCTCGGAGCCCGTCCAGCTCGTCATGACATGCCCACCGCGAACGCGCGTCACACAGCAACTGCAGGCTCTGACAAACAAACACATAAGTATGGGAAGCCAAACACACCGAAAGGGGGACGAAACGGCGCGGTGTGTTACAGAGTTCGCGCTGCGCTGACTTGTAATCTGCGTGGCTCAATGGACCGAGACGCGCGAGCGCGACAGACTCGACAGCGCAGGGAGAAGTGTTTGCTTGCGCCAGCCAATGGTCAGAGCGGCGGGAACTAATCTCACCAGCGCCGCGCTGACCAATAAAACAGCACATCCCATCCATACCGAAATGTACTAAATTGCACAAAAGAAAATCGCCCATTCCATAATATGTCAGGACTACTTAATCGGCCTATAGTTTCCTACAATGCGCCTAGCTATTTGACCACACTGATTTCCGTTAATAATAGCAGATGTTTATGGGTCAAATCTCTCACTCTCTCCCTGCAACTTTTTGTTACCCTCCTTTCCTGCCCCTAGACCAGAAAGGGGGCTTGTAACAGTATGGGTCAAATGTAAACGAATGGTGCCAAACGCGCTGTTTTATTGGTCAGCGCGGCGCTGGTGAGATTAGTCATTTTAATTTATTTGTTTCCCTCTGAAAATCCACTTTCATTGAAATCTAGTGGCTCCTTTTTTTTCTTTTTTCTTTTTGATTCTGCCTATTTTTTCCAAATGAATGCAGCTGGAATTAATGCAATAAATATGTTTTTTGACAAAGATTTCAAATTGTTTGTGGTCTATAACCTGTATCAGAATGAGGTTCGCAATGGTGCGCCCGAAGGCATGGGGGTTGAAGACCCAGTCAGTGACGTCACGATATGCAAATTTGTTTAAATTCATACCGACGTAATCACCATGACCAAAATTATCCTTTTTTTTTTACATTGAATCTTGAAAAAAAAAATATAGACCTACCTACCGACCCTTTTTTTTTTTTTTTTTGCTGTTACTGCAAACCAAAATATTTTTAAGGATGGCCTTATTGTACTATTCTGTTCTATTGTACATTTTATAATGGAGATACCATTATTTTTATGGTTTTTTGGTTATACTTATTTAAGTTATGACTACATAGAGTTTTGTGTTACATCCAGTATTTGGCACTGGAATTATATATTTTTTTATTTGCACAGTTGGACTTTAAATTTAATTAATTGAATGGTGCTGAATAATTAAAAATGCTGCTACAAGTTCTGTTTAAAAATTATTTTAATAAAAATTAAGCAGCAGTAGATGTTGTGGGCTACGTATTTCTTCCTTTAGGGGAGTAGAATATTTATTGCACTATTTGAGCATGATGCTTTTTAGATGGCTAGGTTAATCACAGTGCATCCTCCTGACAAACGTGTTATTAACAGCTTAATTAAGAGGGAGAAAAATATGGTATGGTATTGTATCAGTATCGGTATCGGCAGATACTCAAGTTTGTGGTATCAGTATCGGTATCGGACATGAAAAAGTGGTATCGAGCCAGCCCTACATTGAACAATGCAAACATTCACAGTGTAGTGCAAACAGTGATTAAAGTGCTAGTATGGAGTTGTCAATGGACTGAGTCATTCAACATCCTGATGGCCTTTGGATAAAAACTGTTTTTAAGTCTGGATGTTCTGGCTTTCATGCTCCTATAGCGTCTGCCAGAAGGTAACAATGTGAACAGTATATGCTGAGGGTGTGTAGTGTCTCTGATAATGTTATGTGCCCTCTTAGTTACCCGGGTTTTGTAAATATCTTGAAGTGATGGAAAAACTGTTCCACAGATGTATTGTGCAGTTTTAATCACACGCTTGAGAGCTTTCCTTTCCTGTACTGTGCAGTTTCCAAACCACACTGTGATGGAATTAGTCAGGATGCTCTCCACTGTACATCTATAGAAATTGCTAAGGAGTTTGGTGGACAGACCAAATTTCCTCAGCTTTCTTAGAAAGTACAGCCGTTGTTGAGACTTACTGACAATGTGCTGGGTGTTGTGAGACCAAGAGAGGTCCTCACTGATGTAGGTGCCAAGGAATTTAAATGTTTTCACCCTCTCTACCTGTACTTCACTGATGTAAAGTGGGCCGTGCTGATCATCTCTCCTCCTCCTCGGGTCGATAATCATCTCCTTAGTTTTCTCTGCATTTAAGGAGAGATTATTTGTGTGGCACCAGGACACAAGCTGAGCCACCTCCTCCCTATAGTCGGTCTCA